GGCCTTAATCTTAGTGTGGGGAGGGGGCATCGCTGCATGGGGGGGTTCAAAGGTGCAGCACCGTGTTTTCCTGCCAGCCAGCCAGGGGCAGGGAGCTACCTTCTGGGGTATAGCCAGGCTGCAGGGTGCTCAGGTACTGTCTTCATTGGCATGATCCTCCCAGCAGCCCCGGGTGGGGAGGAGCAGCTGCTGCCTCCTTTGCACTGATGGGGACCTGAGATGCAGGCAGAGTGACTTGCCTGAGGTCACCCAGGCAGTCTGTGTCAGGGCAGGTGCCCTAGCCCCAGCCCAGCCCTCTCTGTGCTTGCAAGGGGTCGTTCTCTGCAGGGTGGCAACCAAGAGCCCAGACTTCGACGCGCACGGCCTCGTCCCCAGCAGATCAGGATGCCCCCACGCCTGCAGGCAGGGCTGCAGCCTTCACCAGCGCTGGTGCCCGCAGCCCGTGGAGCCTGGCCAGCTGGCGGCCAAGTGAGTCACTTGGTGCCGCGCGGCGAGTGGCTGGGGCCTCTCGGCATAGAAGCAGCTTTGTCTCTGCATTTGTGGTTGCTGTGGTAACTGGAGAGCAACAGAAAGGGGGGAGTGGGGCGGCGGGCAGATGAGCCCCGTGGACCGCCCCAGAGCTGCTGGTCCCGCATGGGCGGGGGCTTTTCTTATGGCCTCTTGTGGGCCCATGCGTGACAGTCTGGGCTCTCCTGTGCCCTTAGTGGGGGTGCTGTATTGTGAGCTTCCCCTGGCACACGTGTATCAGGGCTTGGAGGGGAAAGAGCCAAGGAGAGGTCTGTCGCCGGCCAGCGTGGCACCCCTCCAGTCCACGTCTGATCTGGAGCCGCCCCTCGGCAGGGCTGCCCTGGACCTTGGAGGCCTGTCTGGGTTTCCGCTGTGCCCTGCTGGTGATGGGAGGGTGCCCGGCAGCGTGGGGGGAGAGCCCCTCTGCCAGCCCTGGACTCGGGTGGGATGCGAGTGTGTGCATAGGGCTGGGGTCATGAGCACGACACGTGCAGGCAGATCCCACCTGAAAGGTTTCTCTAGGCAGGGCTGGATTGAAGCAGGTGCCCAAGTATTTCCTGGGCTGCAATGAAGCAGGAGAGAGGTGCCTGTGCCCCTGGCTGCAAGCTGCCTCAGGAGAGGAGCCCTGTGGGCTCTGCCTTCAGCGGCTCCCCGGTCTTTGTGGCTGGCTAGCAAGCTCCCCTCCTGCAGGGAGGCCAGGGCGGGCGCGTGGGTCCTCTGGCTGCTTGAAGCAGGTTTGTGGAGAGGTGTCACCGGAGTGTAAATCTCCGACTGCTATTTATAGGTCCCCTTCCCCTGCCGGGCTCCGGTGGGGCATCAGGAGGGAGTGCCACGGCTGCCTCGCTGCTGGCAGGGCTCCCGGCCAGGGGCACAATTCACAGCAAAGCCTGTTGCTGCCACGGCCGGTCCTCCAGCCCGCGTGCGCTCCTGTGGACCGTTTATTTTTCTAGGATGCTCATTGGCTAAGGTAGCGGTGATGTTGTTGCAACACGAAATCCTTCCCGTAGCTGGGGTGTTGCAAGTGCGTGGCGAGAATGCGTGTGCAGCGCTGGGATCGGAGCGACGGGGCTGGGCTGGTGAAGGCCTTCGCTTCTGCATCCTCGCACATCCTAGGGGGCTGCTAATTGATCCCAGATCCCTCTGCGGGGCAGGGGGCTGCCAATGCTGTGCCCGTTGTTGAAATGTGGGGGTGGCACCTCGTTGACCGGCTCAGTCTGGGCGCAGAACTAGGGAGCATCGCGGGGGGTCTCCATGGGTTTCCTGCAGCTGGGAGGGATGGTAGCTTTGGAAGTCATGTATGAGCACAACAGTTGGGTCCGGGGAGCACTCCCTAGAGCTTGACCAGATCCCGAGGAACCTCAGTTTTTATGGGGCCAGGGGTAAGTAGTGCCCATTAGCCATGCCTCGGTCCGTGGGGTTTCATGTGCGAGCTTTATGGCATGACCCCTGGCAGCCAAAGTCACTGGCGTCGAGGTGGCAGAGGGCAGCTGAGGCTTGCCCAGGGCTGGAGTGAGTCTGATAGTGCCTCAGGCACAGGGTTGGACTAGATGGCTTCTGGAGGTCCCTTCCAGCCCTGCTGCTCTACGATGCTGGGAGCTTGGGGATATTGCCTTAGATGCAAGGAGGCGGCTGCTGCTGAGCTGAGCCGTGGGAAAACGAGGTGAGAGGCCTCAGTGACCCTCTGCAGCCGGAAGAAACCTGCTGTCCGTGCCGCGGTGTTTGGAGCCCAGCAGTGGGTGTTACCCACCACTACAGTTCAGGTGTTCTTGGGGGCAGCCCCCCCCCCATGGTGGCTGGGGACCTGCTTTGCAGCTCCCTGGCACCTATCAGCCTGTCCAGGCCGGTTAGCGCAGTAGCAGCAACTCTCTCCTGCATGCACATGGGCTCAGCGATTGTCTTGGGGCCTCCGCTCTGCCTTGCACTCCCCCTCTGCAGAGGTCTAAGTGCTGGACTTTGTCCTCTGGCCGGGCCCCGTGAGACAGGCAGGTTGGAAGCCGGCTTCCTGCGCGAGCCAGACATTGCTTGCCCAATGCTGTGGAGCTACCTACGGGAGCAGGAACTTTCCTGGTCCTGGCCCTGGGTTCACATGGCACCACTCTGCTTGGGCATCTCCTAGGTGTGCCTGATGGGCAGAGCTGCTGGCGGCAAGCTGTCCCTTTCTTTTTGCATGCTCAGGATGAGTCAGGCGGTGCCTGCTCCATTGGCCTCATGTCTCTGAACAGCGGTGGCTCCTGGCTGCCCTTAGCCCTGAGCAGTAGAGAGGCTCCCACCCCTGCAGCCACAAAACATCCAGCTGGCCTGATCAGGAGCAGCTTGGCTGGGGGCAACTGCAGCTCCTATGGACACACCTGGGTTGGCCCTAAACCAGCTTACCCGGGGCTGGAGGGGTTCAGAGCCAGCTGCAGACCCCGCAGAGCCCCAGGCAGGGTGTCGGAGGTGAGCTGGTGCGACGTTCTCTGCTGCTGGGGCTCCACGGCTGTCGGTACTGCAGATACCTCAGCTGTGCCGTTGCTAGCTGCAGTTGCACCTGTTCTCCCTTTTCCCCTCCCTGTAAGTAGGGATGCATGGGGTGGTTCAGGGGGACCCTAGCTCAGTACTGAGAGCTCTGGTAGCCTGACCCAGGTACGACCCTTGGTATCTGAGCTCCTTGCCCTGAGACAGGGCTCTGCTTAAGGTGGTGGATGCAGAGGAGAGAGTAGGGAGCAGCGGGTGGGAGCACTGGGCACAGGGAAGACGGGGCGGCATCACCAGGCTGGTGGCTCTCAGCGGGGCTGATGACGAGCCCTGCATGTGAGGCTCTAAGCAGCCTGGGCCATATCCTTAGCCACTTTGGTGCTGGCTCCTGGATGTCTGGATTCTGCAAGGCAACCTGCGTGACGCCTCTACTCGCATTTGCCCCGGGCTCCCTTTCTCGGATCCTGGCAATGCCCCACGTTCCTTTTTGCTCAAAGCCCTGACCACCCTGCTGGAGTGGATCCAGCCTCCCTGGGCAGGGCGCCGCTGCTGCCGCCACCCTCCAGCTGGTCCCTGCCAGCTGGGAAGAGGGAGCACGGGGAAATCCCCTCCGCAGTGGCCTGTGCCCTGGCTCACTTGGGCTGCCCATGTTCTCGAAGGGGAAGCTCCTGGGTTACAGGGGTGAAGGGGCACCGCTGAGCACGGCTGGAATCGGGGACACTGGCAGGGCCCAGCCACCTCCCCGGATCCCGTCTCCACAGTGGCTTCATCAGTGGTTTGGTGACCTCTTGTGGCCAGTGCTCCTTAGCTCAACCCAGGTCTGGAGTGGGGGGAGAGCCCAGCTGATGCTGAGGTTCTGCCTGCCTCCGTGCAACCCCTCTTTGAGGCATCTCTGCTTCTAGCACAGCTCCCGGTGCCAG